GCGTCCATCCAATACAAAAGCTTCACTTTTAAACATTTTTTTAACCTCGCAACATGAACCCCTCTTTCAAGTTTCTAGTATTACGGGATCTCTGTGGACATTTTACCTGGACATGATTACCCCAAATCCCCAACGGTGATAAACTATCTCGCTTTGTGGTCTAGTAGTTGCCAAAATAAGATCTTTTTGTGCATCTTGATTCAAGGTGTAAGTTAAGGAGACATTCTGCAGACGACAAGGCTTTCATTGCTCCCGAAGTAAAGCGATTACTCCATCAACAAATCATTGAACTTTTATGGTTTTCATTGAAGGCACAAGTCCTCGTCACGACAAATGAGCGAAAGAAAAAACGAATGATTGTTACTTAGTCAAATAATGAGCCGATTTACACAACTAGACGCTTATCCGCTCTCCACAGTTGAGGATAGGAGTAGCAAAATTGCCCAGTATCACATTTTTGGCACGCTTGATCTCGAAAGTGTGCCCCATCAAGTACCCAGTAAGTTAACTAACGGGATCTATACGGCTTTTTGGGGCTTGCAACAACCCTTATCAATTTTACGGAATACCCTTCGGATTAACGAATACACTTGCGTGCTTTCAAGGTTTATGGATGACATAATTCGCGCCGAAGAACCCATTGGCACATGTGTCTACGTGGATAGTTTCGCCAATTGGAAAAGGATAGAGAACACGATAGAAATCTCCAGCTTTTTCTCGCCACAGCAGAAAATTGTGGTTTTCAGTTAGAAAGGTCGATTCCCACTACTAAATTCAAACTCCCTGGCCGTGAAATTATAGAGGGCGTCGTCAAACCAGACCCTGAGCGTTTCAGTTTTGCAAGAACCGCCCACTCCGAGGAACATGAAGTCTCAGCGACATATAGTTAGCTTGTTCACCTACTACCCTTGTTGAATAAGCCATTTTCCTGGCAAATGTATCCAATCACTCAATACGAACTTTCCCGTCCCTGAGTCTGTTATACGAGCGTTTGAAGGTCCAAAAAATTATGGATACAGTTGTGGTCTCTGTCGACCGAGAATATCTCTGAAACTGACGCATTTGTTGCCATTTCCGCTACGCCTAACCGAAATAGCAGACCGGTTGCATTCTCGACGTATTCTGTTTGCTATTGAAAGAAGTGTTTGCAATTACCGAAGCAGTTTGCAAATGAGAACATTTCCTATTCCAAGACACTAACCGATAAACGGTCCGTTGCGTTCATGTATTCAATACAGCGAAACGGTATGAAGGTGGCAGATGGAATTATTGCCCTGTTCTTTGGAGTTAACCCACATATGGAAAAGAAAACCGCTGACAAGCTCTCTCGGAGTGTCTGTGCGAGCACTTCATCTCAGCTGTATCTAAGACGTTTACACGCAACTCTGTGTCATCCTGGAGCAACACGCGGGATACATTTGGTTCGTGTTAAGAACCTCCCATTCTCCCTGAAGGACATCTGACTTGTTATCAAACAATGTCATGTGCGTGCGGGGTTAAAACCATGTTTCTCAAAGCCATCTGTCGGTAAACTCAAAACTACACAGACGTTTGAACACTTAAGCATTGACTTCAAAGTACCATTGCCCCCGGCAACTCTAATGCTGGTCGTTGACAAGTATCCCCTTTCCCGTTCGCCCATCTGTATCCAGGTATTAGCTTGTCTACGGTGATGTCATCTTTTGTGCCACTGTTACATTTGGCCTACCTAGTTTCGCGCATTCGGATAGTGTTTCATCATTCTTTTCAACTGAGATTAAGCAATTTCTTCATGAAAAAGTCTTGTCATGAGTTGGACTACTCCATACAACCCAGGGAAGAACGGTCAACTGAAACGATTAAATGGAACTTGCTGGAAAAAGCTATTGCGCTTTCATTCAAAAGGGCTTCGAGTCGGTCATTTGGAAGCCGACTTACAAGACGCGCTCTATTCGATTAGGCCCGGCAGGAGACTCCTGGTTGCAACCACAAGTCAACTCGACGCATTGTCCGACTTCAGATTCAGACCGGGGAGCTTGTCGAATCCGAAAGGCTGAAGAAATGGGAGATGCATAAATGCTGGAAACATTCACAGGTTGTTAAATTTGCCTGATCCGACTGGTTTGTGGAAGCCTCTTGTTAGCGAAATTATCCGGGACTAGAATAACTCCGATATCCGGTAAGGGAGAATGTATGAACCGTTGGGCACAGCACTCCGAACAACACTTCAGTTAGCTATCTGCTACTTCCAGTTCGGACTGCCAACATTCAACCTAAAAGTAGACTGTGAATATAGAGTCCTTCCTTCAGGTTCAGAAGTATCCGAGTGTACATCTTTACTCAAGCTTCATCGTACTCCAGGTCCTGACAAACTAACACCTACCCTGTTCAAGGGTGGCGGTGAATTCCTCAGCCTGCATCTGTCTAGCCTATGTGCGTCTATCTAGGAGAAAGACCGTTTCAGACGAAAGTCGTACTCGCAATGAGTACAGTAGTCACAGGCGTTAGTCTGACCCTTGTTGAAACAAAGCTTCTGGTGTCACTAAATCTCCGTCGTCTTACGTCGGCACGCGAAACTGATCCGTTAACATCGAGGGGGACTTCGACCGGGTGTAGGCTGCGTTGACCGCATCTCTACACTCCCTCTGGGGATAGAACAACGAGACTCATAATCTTGATGTTCCTCTGGTTCAAGGATGCGTTTGATCCTGTCGATCGATCAGTGCTCTTAACCACATTTGCGCAACAGGATATGCCCCAGAAGTTTGTGAACATTATCAGGTCCCTATATTTTACAATTCTGAAAGTATATGGCGATCTCCTCAAAAACCTTACAGAAGGCAGTATCCGAACAGGATGTCCACTCTCTCCGTTCCTGTCCAGCCTCGTTGATGAATTGCTGGAGCGAAAGTTGGAAGGTCTTCAGAACCCCTGTGTTCCAACCGTTGCTAGTGATAGCCTTGTGGATCTGGTGTACTCAGACGACGTCTAATCACAACCACTGTTGAATAAAGTGATAACCATCATACCGTTTTTCGGCATACCGTTTGTACCTTCAAGGCACACAGTCATGCTTTAAAATGTGCAGTCTATGTACATTAGTCGTCGTTCAGCGGTAACCTAGACAGAGGAAGTCGAGACACAGAAGTTGGGTTCGAACCATGAGCCTTCCGGTCAGTAAATTTGCGCTCTAACCACAGCTATCCCGTCAGTGAAGCATCAATGTTGAACACGGGTGTCATACTGTCGATGATGAGTCCAGATACACGCTGCTTGCAATTCAGAGAGAATCATGAGGTTGTTGAGAATTTCACACACCTCGATAGCTGTATTAGTTCTAACGGAAAAGAGTCTGATGATGTCAGTACACAAGTCACAAAGAACCGAATCACGTCTGCTGATTTGTATCGCTTGCACCGTCAAAAAGGCATATTACTTATTCTCGAGAGTCGAGTGGAGCGGCATACGGAAAGGGTCGTATTCCTATATGTATACGAGACATGACCTCTACGGACAGATGAGATCGCCAGGTTTTTAACCACTGATGTCTCTGAGGTGTTCGGGTTTCAGATAGCGACAACAAATTCGTAACAAGGTAACTGGAAACGGATATTTGGTTGTGCAGCAGGTACTTCAGTCACGGAAAACATCTAGCAGCTCATTCATGTACCACGTATGCGGAAACATCGTCTACGGAGACGAATGTTCTTCGTGCATCCTTCAGAATGGCGCGCGTGGGGGTTGGGTGTGAAAGAAACTACGAAGAGTTTAAGTGTAGTCGGTGCGGTCCGCCTTCCTGGATGAGGTTGCCCTGACTCCGCTAATTTGTGTGGAGTTATTGCAATGAATGGTGGGCAATGGATTTCAGCGACGTTCTTGCTATTGGTTTCTTCCTATGTTGTGTTGGTGGGCGCTTGGAGGCTTAGGCACATCAGGATGCTTGCCATACGCCAGCACTGGTTCCCTCACAAACTGCTCCCTTCTATTCACTTTAGGGTTTTAAGCATAAGTAAATAAACTTTGTGGTTGTACGCCAGCAAAATATTGGTGTCAAGATTCATATTACTGCCTCTGATGATTATGGCAATGTAGCTGCCAGCATCAAGGTGGAGGTTTACGTGGATTTCAACAAGGCATTCAATTCTGTACTTCACAGACTTCATAATACATCGTTCAGCTGTAACACCCTTTCGGTTTCCAGCTACCACACCACCCAACAGAAGCACGAGAGCTGAAATTTTGCCAGGTTGCCCAAACCTAGGCGGGAGCAATCGATTGGCCGCGGTCGGATTCGAACCACGGACCTTTTGGTCAGTAAGCTTGCCTCTTAACCACTGAGCTTTCTCTAACTCGGCCAACAGCACGTAAACTCCTCGAAATCTTTCACACTCTTCTGCCAAGGCACCACCTCACTGTTTGGGACACGGAAGTGGGCACGAAAAACAGTAGTTGTATCGGTAGACTATACTTCAAAATTCACAACACATGGATGAGCTACAGTATTTGATGGCACTGGATGCTTCGGTGACTGATGTACTTGCTGTACAACCAGATATAGGTTTTCTTGTTAGCTCCTTACAAATCTGCCGATACTCTCCGGTACGTCACTCAAAGCCCTGGTGGATCATAAACTGGAGGAAATACGAGTCATTTCCGAAACACCCTCGCTGCTTTACAAAACTGGTTCAATAGCTGGCTTCTACGGATCCACTTTGACGAGTACTGTGTCGTGCGAATATGGGTTAATGGAGTACGAGGTGTGCATTGTTTCGGTAGTTTTCTGCTTCGATAGTCTGCTGTGAAATATGACTGGGGTGCTAGTAACACCGGATCTCAATTTCTCTGAAGATCCCACAAGTAAAATCGGTGTCGCATGTAGACTTTTGTGAGCTTTTCTGAACGCTCTCCCCTGCATATCCAACCTATCGTGGAATACTTACAGCCTGGTTTCCTTCTGATCAATAAACAGGACGACACATTCTTCGAAGAACATCCAAAACAGCTAAAGGAATGATCCACAGGAATTCAGGATATCCTGACAAATTGAGAATGGTGAGTCTCTTTCCGTTGAGGTTTAGGAAGTTGAGGGAAGGCGTAACGTGTACCTAGATAATATTCTGAGGTATTAGAGCGAACCTCAGTATCCATTTCACCGTGACTTTAGAAACAGTAACAAGGGAACAGGTTAAAACTCCAAGTACAGGAAGCATGCTTCGGTTACCTTTCGATTACCATTTCAAAGCGAGTAGTCAGTGTGTGGAACAGCCTACCAGAGAAACAGTGGCCTGTAGCTTCGGTGCACTAGTTAAGAAAGCCTGATTAGACAGAAATCTTTAATCGGCAACCGGCTGGAACTGTCTTTGTATATTTTGTTGGAACTTTATGAAGCAACGATTTACTGTGTGAAATGGCCCTTTGTTGCCAGACTGAAAGTTATGANGAGGACAATATGAGACGACGCTCTGCACTTAGCTACCTGCTGACCGACTAAATTTCTCGGGTATCAGCAGCGCGATAAGACCAAGTAGTGCCGACCGATCCTCGATGTCGGGAGTGTTTCCACCAGAGCATGCATCATTTTCCTTATTTCTACCAGGTTATGCCCTTGAAGTTCGTGAATATCATGCGCCATTTTTATTCACATACTTCTGAACGAGTGAGAATGTATAAAGTGCTCTCCAAAAGCCTTCCTACAAGCAGTGGTATCCGACAAGAATGTTCACTATCTCCGTTTTTGTTTAATTTTGCTGTTGATTAGATAATGTGGCGAACACTGGAAGGTCTCCGAAATCCCGGTATTCAGATCACTCCGAGTGAGAAGCTTGCCGACCTGGAATATGCAGACGACACTTTTCTCACTTTCGGAAAACAATGTAGGGAGCGCCATTATTGCTAGAAAAGTCGTCCAAGTTCATCCAGTAATTCAGCGTATGCTTCGGTCCATTAATTGCAAAGTTGTCCTCGAGTAAAAGACCTGAAACCACCGATGTGGTTGAAACCGAGAGATTCGCGATGAGTGGTCAGGAGACGGGTTTTCGGTGAAGCAGAGGGTACTTCACTTTAAAAATGTGGGTGGATGGATGGTATTTTAAGCATACCAAGTTGCTGCCTGCTGAGACGGGCGCTGTTTTTCCTGCCTAATTCAGAGTGGAAAGAGTTTGACATAGCGCGAAGGAATGAAAGATTCTACGAGAAGTTTTGGTGGCGTTGGTGCTGTTCACCTTCTAGGATGAGATCCACATGACTTTCCATATGCATGTCTGCAGATCGAACGACATGGCGGCCAACCGATATCGGTGGTGTTCATGTTGTCAGTTTATCCAGTTTGTCTGACTGAGTGTTGGTGATGTGAGCACCTCGGATGTTTGTTGTAGGCTAGCCTTGGATCCTCCTTGTGCTGTCAACGATGACGATGGGGATGCTTCTGACACCACGGGGATGTTGGGTCACAGACATTTGGTCCAAGGACGAGCTAGATTACTTCCTTTGAGTAGGTTGTCACGTTTTGTTTCGTGTCAGAGAAAACTCCGCGGAGGAATTGAGCTCTCGTGGTACTTGATGGTAGCGCGAAGGGATGTTGAAGCAAACTTTTTCCTTCCAATGCTATGCATTGGTTTTATCAGCCTAAACGAACCCATCTTCCATACCCACAACGTCCCTTCTCATTAGAAAAATCGGAGATCCAATTCTCCTTTAGATCTTTAGCAATGCACCCAGCCTGTGACTCACCGTTGCCTATTATTACTACGAAGAGTGTTCTCTGTCTCTTATCAGTACTGAACACCGGCAAGCATACTTATGAATGATGCTTCCAATTTATTCCATGAAAATGGTCTTCAACTTGCCATATTCATTCCAGAGCTCTTTCGCTTATCATTATTTTTCCATAGGACGGAAACATTCACTTATCTTTTCCATTCTTAAGTGTGGTATTCGCTTTGACTCCAATAAATACCAGGCCGTCTCCATCACTCATTTAGTCCAAAGTTCTTGGAGCAAGTTTAATCAAACGACTTTACGATCCTGAAGACAATACTCTTTCGAAAGGCCACCATTGTGGATCTAGGTGCCACCGCGCCAGGAGTGATATGTTGGTTTACTTTTCAGACGGGGAAAACAGCAGTAAAGTGAGGTGAGCAGATGGTCAGTTCAAAGCAGTCTGACGATCCACTTTCGAATCTAAGAATAGCTGAGAGTTGCTGATGACCCTGAATTACGATCAGCAGTACGGCTGGTACCTAATCATGGAGTAACGTGGTAGTTTCTGCGCGAGCGACCTACAAACAGTACGTGGGTTTTGTCCTGGGGCATACTTATATCATTTTCACCAATAAGTTAGTACTGCAAGGCGGCGTGGAAGTAACTGGAGATCAGTATTGTCAGAAGGATTATGGGATCTTCGGTCACGTGCCTGTAGTGCCAACAGACGGACTTGCTCGAAGAGGTCTTACCACTTAACTGTGTGCATTAGAGGCTCAGGTAATCAGTTGGCACTGAAACGTGAAAGCCACACTCTATGTTAACAACTTTCACCTGTTCGGATCAGAACCCTTAATTGCGATAAATAAGCGGTTATCGGCACTCGTGTACCCGATTCTGTCAACACATCCAATGTAGAATTTTTTGTGCTCTGTTTTTATGGGTGATACTTTTCGGTTTCACCTTACATTTTCAGTTTTCAACCTTGAATTGGTGCGTAAGCTTTCAATAGCTGGCTCACATCCAATGATACAATGACTAATTTCGCATCGCGCGACACTTCGAATTTATGCATCAGTGGAGATCTTGGGCTGGTTGAAACCGAGGGTCATTCGTCCCGATTCATCCAAGTAAGTTTTTTCTGTGTGGTTGTCCGTGGCATGGGGTTTACCCCTACTCTTTTTCATTGTGTAGTTATCTATTCGTGTAATCTCCCACCCTTTCTTCATAAAATCTAGGGACGTTGTGTTGGTAAAACAGAATGAAATTGCCAAATTAGAAAGACTGTCCTACTTGTTATTTCCAACATCATAGTAGAATTAGGCTGTACCTGAGTGCTATTTTTCAATCCACATTATTAGTGCTAGGTGACTAACCGTATCATCTGTGGGTTTACCACGACCCAGCCTAAGTAATCCTGCACGGTTCAACAGCTTTCGAGCCTCTGGTTTGGGTTGTTGATGAGTGAAACGAACAATCATGACAAGACAAAGTACAACAAGCACTAAATGCTCGAATGACGATGAAACGTTTGCAATGCAACTACGCAGCTCAGGAAATAATACTCGCTCTGGCGATTTTCAGTTGTCACTCCATTTTGCAAAAAAAACGCAGCGTAAACAATAATGCTATGTCAGTGTCTTCTCCTGTCTCCTTCGGTCTCTCTTATGACCGAGACGTGATTCCTCGGGACAGGCGACATGACCCAACTCGAACTGTACCCTATTTCATCGTTTTCGTCTTACGGGTAGTGTTTACCCTTGCTGTTTGTCATTTGTTAGCCATTTGTCCTCGCCCAGCTTTTTCACCTCTTGTTTGCAGGTTTTTTAATGCAGTTTTTCCTAGCTAACTGAGCGATGAATATCTCTGTTGTCTTCATCGCTATTCTGATGGCAGTGATATGTAGGGGTGTCAGTTTTGTAGGCGTCCTCCATTTCCTATTCGCGTCGCATACGTAAAGCCGACACCTCGCAAACCCTGGACCCCTTACTCATCACTGACCTCACTCAACCCACTGTTTTTTCGCCTCCACGTGATCATCAGACAAAAACCTTGACACCGTTCATCCTTCACTCGGCCTGCACCTAGTGTTTTTTGGCATTAATTTTCTGCCGACTTGGGAGTTATGCATACCTTTTTTCTGGTATTTCTGCGTATATTGACTCTCGAATGTCTAAAGATTCATGAACGTCCCCAGTGACAACATGCACCTTCCCTTATTCCTATGAGCCCTGTAATCGTTCTCCGTACCGTTACTAAATAGAATCTCGTTTATGAACATTCACTGATTAATTCCTCTTCAAGAAAACTGATTCCATGTCTTTCCACAACCTGTCTAGAGCTGCCATCAGTAGAGCGGAAGGTAAATCATCATCATCATCGACAGCATGACATCAGTGTTCAACACCGATGCTTCACTGCCGTAGAAGATAAATCCATCGTGTGAATGGTGCCTACGGATGGCCCAAGTGGTTAGAGCGCGAATTTCCTGACCGGAAGCTCCGTGGTTCCAACCCGACCTCTGCCTCTCAATTTCTCTTGTCTAGGCTTGGGCAACCTGGAAGTATCCCTGCATTAGTGCTTCCTTCGGGTGGAATGGCAGCTAGGCACTGAAAGGGCGCTACAGCTGAACTTTTTTTCTACAGAAGGACGTTCCTCCTGGAACCTAGCCAGGACGGTTGGCCGTAATTTCCACACTCATTCGTTGTCTTCCATTTCTGATGCACATAGCATTCGTAAATTCACTCCCCAAGGGAGCTCATCTCTTCGTTCATTACTTCTTTTTCTCTCCTTCCGGATATCCTGGCCCCGATGACACCCTCTTGTTCTATTTCGGAATGGTACATTTAAATTTACCCCAGCCATACGTGTATTCTCCAATTTTTTGGAATCTAGCCCATATTCTCCCTAGGCCCTGCTTTGTCAACTGCTCCCAAGCCTATCACCTCGATTTCGTCCAGAGTTATGGAGAACGCTATGTCACGCTAGTTCAGACATACTTGCCCCACATGGTATCGCTTGGCAGATGTCTAACACCCCTGGGTTTGGTTGGATTTAATGAAAAGGGTAACACTCAGTTCTTGAGAGACTAATCGATTTGTCTATGCAGTTGTGGGGTTGTTTCCATATACAACTCCATCAACACGGAGCTTTTTGAAGATTATCCCTTTTCTAACCCAAATGCTGCTATACGTAAACGACCTTTATTTCAATAGTTTCCTGCGGTATTCACACTTTCGTCCACCACTCTCTCGTATCGCTCTTATGCCTGTGGTTGTGTTGGGTTTTTTAGCGGTCGCGTACAGATACGGTTAGAACGACAAACGGTGCTGCCTCAAATTTATAATTGAAGT